AAATTTTATTTTTCTAAGGTCTTTAATTTAATAAAAAAATTCTATGAAATCTGAATACCAAAATCTCTGAAAGAATCATACTCACTAAAATAAGCACATCCTACGGTAGAATCGAAAAATGGAAGCTCATCTGGAAGAAGCTCATGCCTCGTTAAAAATGGTGCTGAATATCCCTAAACCGTCTATATATTCTATAAAAATAACTCTAAAAGAAAATTTATTAAAATAAGCCCCGGTTCTATTATAGGGAATATACGGCATCCTATTTTGCAAATTTATCTAATTTTTTTGTCGGCTTACAAGCGACATCCAAAAAATAACACGACAATATTGAAAGATTGGCTCTACATACAACTGAACCCATAAATAAATCCACTTAAAGCAAGATAAATCTAATAAATTATATTTAAAATATTCATTTGAATCCCAATAGTTATGATGAGATTATGTGGGATTAAGTGGGATATACGAAGTATATGTCTAACGGATTTTTGTCTGACATAGTCTTATCAGTCTATATTTTGCTCTAACACGAAAATATCCTAAATCTGAGCAAAATTAATAATATAAAAAACCCTGACGGATTTTTTACAAAAACTCCAACAACCCGTGTAATCAATCACCCATGTAAACCCAGTGTCGAAGTCGTGGTAAAAAATACACCACTAACGATGAACTTTTTTGGAAATTTTTAGAATATTTTGAATTCTCAAAATAAATTTTTCTAAAATAACATTAATAAGTAGTTAATTTTGTCAAAAATTAAAAAAAAATTTTTTTGAAAAAATTTTCTGATCAACTATTATTGAAATTATTTCCACGGGAAACACTTTAAATGTAAATTTAATTTAAAAAACCTTTAAAAGACACTTTAAATGAACAAAATCAAATTATTTATTTGTGAAAATTCATTTTTCCATTAAAAATTTTCATTTTTCGGTCCATATTTGATCCATATTTTGGATTTTAGTCCATATTTCAGTCCATATTTTAAGATTTTTAGTCCATATTATATGTCCATATTTTTCGATTGATAGTCCATATAAATCCGTTCCCTATTAATAAGACATTAATAAGAACTTCGGTTCTCAACATTAAATCTCGGTTGTCAACATTAATAAGAACCGAGATTTTTCGGTTAGAGTCTTCGGTCTGTTCTGGACATGACCCCTACACGAAAATCCAAAATTTTTTAGGTCGAAACGAAACGAAACAAAATCTTTTAAAAATAGTTTTGTTAACGAAACGAGACGAAAATGTAAAAATTTACCGAAAAGAGACATTTTATCGCCAATTGATTATGAATGGCATCCAAAAATAAAAAAAGAAATTTTTCAGAACTCTTCTACTTATAATTTTTGGATTTATATTTAGTTTAAAAGAGAAATAAATTTAAAAACACATATTAATTTGAAATGTACAGTGTGAAAAAATAATACGATCACCCTCAAGTTTCAACATTAGGGGTGATCGAAGAATTTATAAAAAGTGCGCATAATTTTCGAATTTTTACGATAAACGCCATAATGCAGAATCTTCAAGAAACGACGACAAACCGCAACCTCAAAACTAAATTGCACCTAGTCTAAAGTGAAACGTGTTTTTATATTTTTAATATGTGTTTTTACATTTTTTTCTCTTTTAAACTTTAAATCCGTATTTTATGTAGTTGTTATGCAGGCTCTTCAGCGTTTATTTTTGGATGCCAGTCATATTCAACTGGCAATAATTTGTGTTGTAGTCCGATAGTATTAGGCGCGTTTGATGGGTTCTTTGGAGTATGAATGACAACTTGTTAGCGTTATTCTGTCAGTCAACTCCATCGCACCCGACAAACGCGTGAGGCTTGACTTTTGAGGATTGACTTTTGCGGATCCAACCTATGCCGATCCCGTGCCACGAAACTTGAGGATCTGACTGATTACCTACAAGTCTGATCCTCAAGTGTTAAGTTATTTGTGGGTTAACAGGTATATAAATGAATTTGAGAGATATTGGACAGATTAAAAAGGATTTTGTAGGATTTGTAGGCGTAGGTCAACCTAAGTAATTCGACAAGATCCCTTGACATAGATATCGAGGGATTTTGCTAATTAAGAGTGATATTGGTGATAAATATTATTTTTGTCGTTTTTAAAAACTATGGACATAAGAGAGCTAACGCCAAAAAATTCTCAAAAATTACTAAAACACTCCGAACGACATAATGCTGAAAACCTTCCAAAAAGAGGCCAAAACTTTTGAGGTGCTAAACCTTTACTTAATTAATATGCAATCATTTAAAAGCGAATTAAGGGGGATAATTTATCTTTATGAACAATATATCTTAATTTAAATAAAATTTAATCAAAATGTTTGAATCAATTTGGATAATGATATGATTCACATGTTCTTTTTTGTATTTTTTGGATGCTAAGCAAGACTTAAGCAAATATGTGTTTATGTGTATCTCTCTATTTTCTTATAATTTTTCCCTCATTTATAATGTGAAATTATTATAGAGAGTGTCTTCTCGATCTTCAGGAATTTTATTTTTGGATGCCATACATAATATGGCAATAATTAAGTTAGAAATTAACTGAAATCTTTTTCTTTAAAAGATTTTTCTTAAATTTTTATTCTTAATTTTCCTTTTTTAATTTTAAATTTTTAATTCAATCCATCTCCAACCTTCGCCAAATTAAAAAAGCATATCCAACTCGCAATTATTGACTGTTGGATTTTTAATTTTATAAATTTATTCTCATGGATGTTTGTTTATCTTGACATTCTCTCTTCTTTAATTTAAATTTTACGTTAGACGATGAAAAAAAATTAATTTTGCGGATCAGTGTTGCGTATTTATGCAAATTTAAATTTGACTTAAAATTTGCAAAATAACCGGTGAGGGTTTTGTATTTTTTGTAATGTCTAAGTGATTTTTGTATAACTAAACATTAACATAAAGATCCGATTCTTGTTATTCTTATTGTGGAGGTCATAGAAAATCCATTTATTTGATATAATCAGTACTTCGAAGCTCGTACCAAAATTCGTACGAGTAGGAGGCCAAAAAAGAGGTGGTACGAAGTACGAGTACGAGCAAATTTGAAATTTCGAAGCACTAGACATAATATAATGTTGATAAAGTCTGAATAATATGCTAAAATTTAATTGCTTCGTTTCATTTTTGAAAACTCTAATAGGTATTTCAACAGATAGTAGAGCAGCTTAGCTATTTCTCTACAATTTTTCTCCACTCTCTCTTCGTTGGCTAGTTTAAAAGGTTATTCGGCGGCTAGGAAGAAAAATCTTCAATAGACCGGACTGATTACTGCTCCTTAAAATATATTCTATTAATAATTAAATTATAGGTTATGAATTCATTTATATAATGCTAAGCAGTCGGTCCCGGTCGTATTTTTTTGGATGCCAAGCAACGCTTTGGCAAAAATTTTATTTTTAAAGACATTTAATTTTATAAAAAAATTCTATAAAATCTGAATACCAAAATCTCTGAAAGAAGCATACTCCCTAAAATAAGCACATACTACTAGAGGATCAAAAAATATAAGCTCATGTGGAAGAAGCTCATGCCTCTTTAAAAATGGTGCTGAACATCCCTAAACAGTCTATATTCTAAAAAATAACTCTAAAAGAAAATAAGTTAAAATAACCCCGGGTCTATTATAGGGAATATACGGCATCAGTATATACGGCATCTAATAATACATTATTTACAATATCCAATTGAGTCCTAATAGTTCTGATGAGATTATGTGGAATTAAACGGTATAAAGGAAGTTTTGGTCAAACGGAGTTTTGTCTGACATAGTCTAGTTAGTCTAAATTTTGCTCTGGCACAAAAAAATCCAAATATGGCAAAATTAATAATATAAAAATGCCCGACGGATTTTTTTACAAAAACTCAACAATAACCCGAAATTTTACCTCGACAAACCCCGACATTGACGCAAACTCAGACGCAAATACAAATTTGACGCAAATACACAACTAACGATGAAATTTTTGAGAAGTTTTAGAATATTTTGAAATTTTATTCAAAAAATTTATTCAAAAATAAATTTTGCTAAAATACTTTTCTCAACATTAATAAAGTGAATAATTTAGAGTTGTGGTTCGGAACCGAAGAACAAACCACGACACTGATTGGGTTTTCGGTTGTAATCTGATTGATGATCTAGCGCCGCAGGCGAAAATTAAGAAGATTTAAAGGCGAAATACAACAAGTTGATTCTGAATTACAATTATGATACTTATTAAAATTATATTAAAATAAATACAGTATATTTTATTATATTTATTCTGATTTAAATGGATTTACTTAGGGGTTCAGTTCTGTGTCAGTTCAATTTTTCATGATATTTTTTTGGATGTCGCATTGAATGCCGACAAAAATTTAAATAAATTTTCAAAATCTGATATACTGTTAGTGGTAATTCGTTACTTTATTGTGCTATTCGATAGAGGACCCAGACTTCCAATTTTGCTTGACTTCCATTTTCGACCCTGAAAGACCGCGCCTCCTGCCCTTAGTTATTTTCGGCTTTTGGCAGCTACGCTATTCTTGTATTTACTATTCAAAATTTAATTCCATTCATGTGTTATTATCAGTGATGGGAAAGTTCCAGTTCCGAAACCGATTCGGTTCCAGTTCCGGAACTGGAACCGGTAAAAGTATGGAACCGGTTTGGAACTGGAACGGTGGAACCGACTAAGGTCCGGAACCGGTTTGGAACCGGGACCGGCAAAGGTCTGGAACCGGTTCCGGAACCGGTTCCAAATATACACCCCTGTTTATGGGTGAAAAAAGAGAAGTGAGCAAAAAGGTGGTAGTCGTGAGAAGTAAAGAGCGAAAATTGAGATTTTTCCTCAAAACTGCCCATTTTATCAAAAATTTATGGAAAATAAATTTTAACCATTAAAATAAAGTAAAAGAAATTTTCAAAGAATATTAAAATCGTTATCAAATTTAGTTATCATTTAATTTTTAAATAGTTTTTCTTAAAATCAGTCAAAGTCTCATATTGAACAGTTCCCTTATTTATGGAGAGCAAGGACGTTTGCATATAATTCCAGTTCCAGGCTTCTCACAGTTGACATCCTTCCATTTTCCATCATTACCAATTCCAACACAATGCTTCTTATCTCCACCTCCAGGTTTTGATGGACATCCGGGAGCCCAGGGGGATGGTGGTTTTTTCTTACCCTTGCAACTACATTTCTTATGGTCATCCTCATCACAATCATCTTTAGATTTATCCTTTTTGTCTTTCTTCTTCTTGTCCTTTTCTTCTTTTTCCTTCTTCTTTTTGTCTTCCTTTTCCTTCTTCTTTTTATCGTCATCATCCTTCTTCTTTTTATCGTCATCATCCTTCTTCTTTTTATCGTCATCATCCTTCTTCTTTTTATCGTCATCATCCTTCTTCTTTTTATCGTCATCATCCTTCTTCTTTTTATCGTCATCATCCTTTTCCTTCTTTTTATCTTTATCTTTCTTGTCTTTTTCTTCCTTTTCCTTTTTCTTATCTTCTTTTTCCTTCTTTTTGTCTTCCTTTTCCTTCTTCTTTTTATCCTCCTTTTCTTTCTTCTTCTTGTCGTCATGACCATCTTCTTTGGCATTGCCATCATCGTCATCCTCATTGTCCCCCTTAAATGTTAAAATTTTATTAAAATCGGTGGATGTATCTCATATTTATTTTCTCACTTTCTTGTGTCCATACGAGCATTCTTTGCCATCATCACAGTAACAGTCATTTTCCTCTTCATGATTGTCTGTAACTGCTATATGCATACCAGTCCAAATACACTTGTCTTGTATCTCTCGCTTAGCCCTTTTCTTGGACTTAAGCTGGATATTTGCTACATTTTCGAGCAAGAATTCATTCTCTTCTTCAGAATTAATTGAACATGGAAGCGCATGATATTTGGCACAAATAGCCTTAGCCTAAAATAAAAGTTAGATTAAAAGAGCGCAAAATATGAGCATAAACATACCGTAAAATAAGAGCTGTTGGGAGCAGGAAAATATTTGTAGGCGAATGATCCATCCTTTCCATGCTTAACTTGCCAGTCATCCGATCCACACCTGTATCCATCATTGCAATTACAATTAACACAACTGCCATTGTTTCCACCTCCGTTTACAGGTTTGGCAGTAGATCCCGGAAAACCTGGTAATAAGGTAGAAAATGTTTTTGGTGACTGAGCAGTCACAACTGGACCAATGCTGCTACCTCCACCGATGACAGACTTGGTTGACACTACTGGGGCTCCTGATGGTTTTGAAGTAACCACTGGACCAATACTGCTTCCTCCACCGATGGCAGACTTGGTTGAAACTACTGGGGCTCCTGTATTCGCAGGAAGGATAGTTGAAGCTTTAGAAGCCTCAGGTGTTTGAGCAGTTGAAGCAGAACCTCCGCTATTATCACCTATACATTTCTTTTTACAAATCGTTCCATCAAGTCCGTCGTTACACCCAACGTCATTCCACTTAAAATTCGGCTTGCCATAATTATAAGTCGTATCTGCAATCCCGACGCAGTGAACAGTATCTTAATTGGAAAATTGTTAATACATAGTTTTAAAATTAATTTTTCAAATCTTAAACTAGCTGCTTACTTCCATCAGTAGTGATCGATGGATTTCTCACCCATGGGTATTCTTGTCTTTTAGGATCTTTAACACCATTGAAATTTCCAAAATTGCAATCTGTCTTATCAGTAAATGAGCAGGTAGGTGAGTACTGATCTGACACTTGTTGCATTCCAATGTAGAGTACAACTCCGCTTGTTTTAATCAAACCATAAATAAACTCATTTTCATCTTTACTGTGAATGCTGACTATATCACTGTCAAGACCTGAACAGATGCTTTGTGCCTATAAAATGTAGACTTATCGTCATTAAATTGAGAAAAGAAGCCGCACCTGACTAAAAGTTATATTTTTCTGCAACACAACCTGATAGCCATACTCAACACTGCTTGAATCCGATCGTGAATCCCAACCTGCAGGGCAAGCAGCATTTATAAATGCAATGTGAATACATTGAATAGAGAGACATGTCAATAGAAGAGTTTTAGAAACAGAAAGTTTCATTTTAGTGAAAGTTATATTCTTTTATTATATATTAAGTAAATTTACTTTTTAGCGTCTATAAATGAAGATGAATGATTTTAAGAAAATGATGGAGAATAAGACAGCTTAATATCTTTTATATGAGTTAAATTAAGCGTTAATTCAGACAAAATTTTTTCTTGAATATATTTAAATTTAAAGCGATTTATTTAAAATATTCGCTGCCACGATTAAAATTTATAAATTTTTTTTGCTTAGCTGGCTTCTATAGCGTTGTCATTTTTAACTTTTTTTTATAATTTTTTTAAATTTCTAAATGGTAAATTAATTGAAAATTTAGTTCCGCATGGGGTTTAGAGTAGAGAATTTTGACTTTAGATTATTCTTTTAATATTACTTTTTTTTAATTTTTAGCAAAAAGGATCGCGAACACTGACTGATCGTGATCACTAATCACACCGACATCAAAAATTAAGTACGGGAGCCAGACATATAGCGAAGGACATTTCCGGACAGCATATCGGGACAGACATTTCGGGATGGAGATATCATAAAAATTTAAAGAAACGATTGAAGACGATTTTTAGATTCTTTACTAATTGTTAAGGGATTTAAACGGATTAACAGAAATATCAAGGAATTTCGCGGATTAAAATGGATCACGGCATTAAAAAAATTTAAGAAAGCTATTGAAGTTTGTGAGGCTTAAGAGTGATTAAGAGGTAACCCTCTATAACAAGTATATCTCAAAAATCTCCATCCCGAAATGTCTGTCCGGAAATGTGCGTCTCAAGTGTCTCCCGGCCTTTATACGGCAGCATTTAAAACGTTGGTAAGTGGTTTAAGAATTTGTAAGAAGGTAAATTGGAAGAATAAATGTCTGTTGGCTGGGCATCCTCAACTGAGGAATTGAAGCTTAAAAAGAACTGTAAGTAAGTTGGAGGGTTTAGATTTCCTCCATATGACAAAAATTAACAATGATTTTTATCGATTGATGTTAAGCCCGGTAAATGGATTCTGTCCAACATATTCCAACTATATTCAAAATCAATTTTCAATTCTCGCAATAATATTTTTTTAAAGTTAGATTTTATTCCATCCACACATCATATCCAACTCATCTAAAATTATAAAGCTTTGGAAGGTATAAAATTTAAAATTAGAAAGTTTGAACAGCTATTTTTAAAGCAACGCTACTTGAATTTAATATAAAATATTTTTTTGGTGAATTTTATATATGGATTTTTTGGGATTGATTAATTAGAAAGTCAAATGTTATCAATTAGAGATCAGAATATACTTTGTATTATGTTCATTTTGCTAAAATTATTTGGATGGGATACGGAATAGACCAATTTGAAAGGGTCCGCGTACTGAGCACAATCGAGTATCCCCAATCAACAAGATGATTGGTTTTTTCTACTATCCATTCATATTCTTTCTGCAGGTAAAAACACAATGAACTTGTTTATTTGCCGCTTAATAGTGGCATACAAAAATATTTGGACTTAAATATAAAATTGAAGCAAATCCTACAGTGAGTATATTTTTAATAAATCTATTTGGAAATAAGATATAAGGAGTAGATTATATAAAAATGTTTAGCTAACAATTTGAGATAAAATGTTAGTGCTATAAATAAACTTATGAATTTGTATGCTCCATGACCTACAAAAATATAAGAAATATACGCATATCTATGCATAAACTTTATTAAAGTAGGAGCACAACTTACATAAAGTAATTTATTTAATTGCCAGGCTTAATAGCCAGCATCCAAAAATATACCGTTTGGTTCTGTGGTGTTGTTGCATACAATGAAACGAAAATATACTTATAAAAATTGGAAAAGGAAAGGAAGATGGAGTAGATTACATAAAAATTTATATCTGAAATTTACTCCAAAAGTTGTAGTTTTAGTCTTAGATATCTGACATAGCATCTAAAGAGTTTAGAATTGTTAATATCTGTAAAAGTGATATGAAAGAAATGTTGCCGTACTCGTCCAGGCAACTGCATTGGCTGAGAATCCGCAACTATGTAAGTGATACCGAGCAAGAACTTTTAGAGATTAAAGATTCCTTCCAATATCTTGACTACTGTAAGGCGGATATCATCCTAAAAACACGTGAAGAGCAATGTCGCTCTAGTTAACGGAAGTTTGCAGGAAGGTGCAAAGAATATTACAAACGGCCATTCCCAGAGAGTTATTAGCCGCCCATTATCTAAGCTTAACATCGCCACTAACTTATCCTTGGGAAAGCATTAAGGAAGTAGGCTGGTGCATATAAGCACTAGAGGAATAGGCAAAGGTGGATCACTTCTTCATTCATTCAACAGAGTTGCCGGCCGGCTAATCCATCGTGTCTTATAGGGAAGAGCTCTCCCTATATTCCCCCACTGCGTGCGATTCACCTATTTCTATACTCTGCGGAGTTCACACATGTCTGCAGCATGCGCGACTTTGCTAATAACATCAACTGAACAACGAGGCACTGGGGAACGGGACCAACCGCTTTACTGGTAGCACCGGATGGTTCCTCACCTTTTGCCGTAAAATTTGAGTTTAGAATAGGTCGGGGAATTTTTAAGGATGGATTTTATTTTTATTATTGTGCACTCAAAATCCGCGGTCTAATTTTGATGAATGAATAATTTATATAAGAATAAAAATTTATTGCGCTCAAAATCCTATGTCCCCCATTAGAATAATAAATTAATATTGAATGAAGATTTTATATAATAAAAGGGGGTTAATTTTTAAGTGATCTATCCTCTGCGGAGGCCTTTTATGTTTAAAATTATTTTTTTATAATCAGTAAACCCCCATTTTGACATTAAATTAATTTTTGAATGAAGAATTTAGAAAATATTAGGGGGTAATTTTAAAAGTGATCTATCCTCTGCGGAGGCCAATTATATTAAATTTATTTTTGAAAGGAAATCCATAAAAATCTATCCTCAGAAACCTCCATTTTAGATAAATTAATTTTTGAATGAAGAATTTAGAAAATATAAGGGGGTTAATTTTAGTGATCTATCCTCTGCGGAGGCCATTTATATTAAATTTATTTTAGAAGTAAACCCATAAAAATCATTAAGAGAATTATAATAATGAAATAGAAAATATAGACTTTAAAAAAATTATTTTATCCTCAGTAACCCTATTTTGAATATAAATTAATTTTTGAATGGAGAATTTTGGAAAATATAATGGGGATAGTTTAGGTAATCTTAACCTCTGAGAAGGTCAATCATATAAAATAAGAAAATTTTAAATCAATAATAATAATCAATAAGGGTACAGTTTTTATGGAGAAAATATAGTTTATTGTCCGAAATATGTATTTATATGATAAAAAATATAATTTAAAAATAATAATAAGCGCTGCGGCGTTCATAAGCTTTTCTTTATAATTTGTCAACTATTTTTTATTTTTTTTCAACTTTATTAATTTTCATCACTATTCACTACAAACAACAGATTCAATATGAACACTCACTTCCAATTTTTTAATTAGAAAACCTTCAGCAGAGATGGTGTTTTTTAAAGTAAATTTTTACTTATTTTAATGAAAAATTAATTTCTGACTAATTAGACACTAATTCGAATCTGGGCCAAAAAATATTTTTAGTGAAATAGGGATAGTAAAATTTTGTTTTTATAAAAAAATTAAAACATGGTAAAAAATTTTTTAGTTAAATAAAAAGGATTTTCACATCCCTTTTGAAAATTTTTTTATTATTTCGATTTTTTCTTTAAGATCTCTTTTATATTGATTTTCTTTTCATTTCCTTAAAGAATAACATCTTAAAAATAATTAAGATTAAATGATTTTAAAATCAGTTAAACCCTGCGGGGTTCTTTAAAGAAATTACAGATTAAAAAAAAACAAAAATATAGAAATCACTTCATTTCCTGAAACATTTATTTATGTTATTTGTCATGAGAACTCCTCAATTTAAAAAATCAAAGGTCAAAAAAATCAAAAGGAAATTAATTAATTTTAAATTCTTATCAAATTCAAAAAACATTAACATCTTTTTTCTCTCTAAAAATTGCAAAAAAACAATGTTGACTAACTTCCAGGAAAGGAATATTTTTTCTCTTACAACTTTTTTTTCCATTTCTAGTCAAAGAAATGTTTTTTATTTCTAAAAGTTGATGTAAAGTAGCAATTTTAAATGTTAACTTTTTATGAATAATTATTATGAGTTGTTTCATATTCCGTTTTTTCTACTTCATCCCCGCGGGGTGCAAAAATATGATTCATTATTCTTTTAATACATACATACAGCCTCGAAACTCAATCACTGGTCTCAACAATTACAGGAAAATTAGAACATACTCCAGGGTTTTTTTTCCCTTCATTTTTACACAGATATTTGTCTTAAAAAGATTTACTTCTTTTACCTTATCAGCAAAAACCACATTATTTAAAAATGTCATTTTTTGGTATTAAAAGTATAAATTTTAAGTAATTTGCAGGGGCCCAAAATAACTACTAACAAAAATATTTCCCAAATTTTAAAATGTAGGGCCCATTTAATTTTTATTTTGATAAACTGTGAAAAACAAATGGAAGTTTATTCTTTAGATGTAGAAAATTCATCTTTAATATATGGCTTCACTTTCTAGGCAAGGGTCAAATTTTCTAAATTACTTAAAAATCCCGGTTTAATATTAAATTATTAAAAATTTTTCTTTCAAAATAAAGAATTATCTTTTTGCTTATATAAGAACTAGCGGAGTTGGTCGGCCTTCGGCCGCCCCACCCCGCTAGCAAAAACAAAACAGACCAAAAAACAAACTCCAAATCAACTTATCACAACCTCAAAATTGCCCTAATCCAATCATAATCAGAAAAACCCGATTTTCATAACATTGACCAGCATTAAAACATTTCCTGATTACAAATACATTTAACAAAGCAAAGCATCTAATAGGTGCACCTAAGGGTACACACAGGCGTCGTGTGACTCCGCTAGCATAATAAAACAATTCAACTCAAGATCCGATTCAAAAGCCGGATATAG